TAAACATTCATCATGGACATGAAGAAAACTTAGAAGACACCTCCTCCTCCATTCATGGAAGTCATTCTGAGGATTCCCTCTCATTTTTTGTGCCTGTGAGAGGCATAGCTTGTTTCTTGTTAACGACATTAGGATTATATTCTCTGTGTCGTTCTTCTAGAACACGATTATATCGTGGTGAATGCTGGTTTGTCTTGGGGGTTTATTATATTTGACTAGTTGGTGTTGGACATTTAGGTGGTTTCCAGTTTTTCCCCTATTCATAAATGTTGCTGTGACAGATAATCAGCATACAAAAATCCTGAGTGCATAGTTATTTTCTTGGGATAAATTCTGTTTTTAAAAAAAAAAAACACGTTTGAGGGAGAGACAGAGCGAGTGTGCGAGGCACAGAGAGAGAGGGAGGGAGAGAATCCCAAGCAGGCTCCACACCGTCCTCGCAGAGCCCGATGTAGGGCGCAGTCTCACGAACTGTGAGATCGTGACCTGAGCTGAAATCAAGAGTGGGACACTTCATTGATCAAGCCACTCAGGGGCCCCTTTCTTGGGATAAATTCTTGCAAGCAGAGCTTCCTAAGGCTTTCATACCTGTTGCTCTCTAGAAAGCAGGCGTGACCCATTTCCATCAGCAGTGCACGAGATCGCCTGTTTCCTCGACCTCTTGTCGGCACAGGGTCACGATATCACAAAGCCACTTTTTGCTGACTTGAGAAAAGAAAAACCGTCCCGTTTAAAACTCATGTCTTTGAGGGGCGCCTGGGTGGCTCAGTCGCTGGAGCGTCCGACTTCGGCTCAGGTCACGATCTCGCGGTTGATGAGTTCGAGCCCCGCGTCGGGCTCTGTGCTGACCGCTCGGAGCCTGGAGCCCGCTTCGGATTCTGTGTCTCCCCCGCCCCTCCCCCGCTCAACGCTCTGTTTCTCTCTGTCTCAAACATAAATATAAACGTTAAAAAAAATTAAAAAGTCCTAAAAAGTTAAAATTGAAAATCGTGCCTGTGAGTTGCTCTACCTCGTTTAGTGGGGTCACATGTAAGTATTTTTCCTACCGGCTGTACTTCCCTCCGTGTCGCCTGTTCCATACACCCGTGCGTTCCGAAAGCATCGAAGCTGGGGCTCCCGAGCTTGTTTGCCAGGGAAGGGGTGGCCCACGGGCCAGCATCCCCCTCCCGCCCCCCGGGGGGGGGGGGGGGGGCTCCACATGTCGCGTCCTCCGGCCCGCGCCGCAGGAGGCCCTGATGGTTTGTTCCTCTTCCTCAGGAGCAGGAGCAGCTCTACCTGTGCTCAGGCGTGGTATCGTCTGCCACCTTCGAGCAGCCGAGTCGGCAGGTGAAGCTGTGGGTAAAGATGGTGACCCCGCTGATCAAGAACTTCTTCTGAGGATGGACAGGTGCTGCCCGGCGAGGCCACGGGGTTGGGGGGCGGGGGGGGCTGGTGGCTTCCGCCTCGGGCTGGGTGGGGGGTTCCCAGGTCCCCTCGCGGGGGGCCCGAGGGCTCCGTCTCTCGGGTCACCATGGTCATCATCCAGGTTTTCGAGGCCTGGATGTAGGTGAGGCGGCCTGGGCGGCACGGAGCGGGGCCGGGGCGACGGCAGCGGGAGGGGCGCTCGGAGACCGGACACGCTCTGCCCACTCAGGAGGAGCCTGCCACTAGGGATCTAGGGACGGAGGCTGCCGCTTGGCGCCCGGAGCCGTGGGCTGTGTCCTCAGGCGGCCGCGAGCGGGGCTGCTGGGAGGCCAGGTGGGGGGCCTGGCGGGTGCAGCTGCCGGTAGAGGCCGGGCCTCTCCCGAGTGAGCCTGCCCTCGCCCCCAGACGCCCCGGATGGGACCGGCCCCGGGTGTGGGGGTGCAGGGAAGGGGGAGTGGGGCTCGGGCGGCAGCGGCTCCCTTGGGTTGCTGGAGCCACATTTCTGCCATTAAGACCACATCGCATTTAACTTCATCATCCAGTTTTTTCCTCTATCTTAATTACTTTTGATTTTATTCACATAATACACAAATTTAGAAAGTACAGCTAGAAAACTGACAGACTGCAGCTGTTTCCTGCCCTCTTGCACTCCCCTCCCCCTCCCCCGCAGCCACTTTTAACTCTTTTATCGGGTTTTGGTTTTTGATATTTACGTACTGGCCCATGTTCCTAAAGAATGTGTGTACATTGCCATTCCCTTCCCCCTAGATATTGTGTCTCTTATTAAAAAAACAAGAACCCCACCCAAACAGGACACCAGGGTGGCACCTGAGACATTAGCTGGAATCCCTTAGTGTCATCAGATACCCTGAAGGTGTTCACAATTGCAGTTGTCTTAGAAGTATTTTTATTTCATTAAATTTTTTCCACGTGTTTGAAGTTCCGGTTAAGGTCCACACTTGTGCGGTGACCGTCAGCCAAGCCTCCTTTCATCTGTGGGTTCCCCTCACGTTTTCCTCTTTGCAAATGAATGAACCCCCTTTTTACTGGATCTGCTCTAAACACCTCACAGCGGGGCATCTTTGAAACTCACGTCCTGTTGTCCTGTTGCGTAGATTTGTCAAAGGCCAAGGTCCCGCCCCCGCCCCCACTTGTCTTCAGGAGCAGATTGCAAAACCTTGCTGCCCAATCTCTTCATCTCCAGGTGCTTGAAACTTTTGCACAGAGAGGCCTTCCTCAGAGAAGGCCTTTCAGCCCCAGGGTCTGGCGGCCCATCCTTTGTGGGGGGACAGATTGCTTTCCACCGCTGCGTGTTGCCCCAGAAGCACCTTTATGTGTCTCCTTTGCTGGGGCTGGCGGTCACCTTCGTGGGTTCTGGAAGGCCGGCCTCATCTACACTCTGGCTGTGTGCACGGGGTGCTCTGGCGCCTCACCTTAGACCGAGAGCATCCGCAGCCCCTCTCCCCTCCCCTCTCCCCCTCCCCAGGGCCGGCAGACGTGCAGGCTTCAGTGGGTGGGAGTCGTGTTTGGGAATCGGGTCGCGGCCGTGGCTCTGCTGCTTTGGGGCAGTGGCACATCAGCTAACAGTGTTTGCCTTCTTACTAGTTATTAAATTGTCCTGTGGGACAATTAGACTAGAGAAGCCAAAAGAATGTGCCAGGGCGCTGGGTTTCTGTTTGGAGAGAGGCTTTCGGTAAACAGCGTTCACATTCCTGCAGATTCTGTGGGACCAGAGTAAACATTGTGCCACAGCCTGGCTTGAGCAATCGAGCCTGTGCCCTCCACACTCAGCTGCTCCCTTTGTCTCTGTTAATTCCCTCAAGACGGCTCTGGGCCCCCCCCAGCCCTGCACTCTCCGCCAGCCCCTCCGGTCCCCTAGGAGGTGGGGGATTGGTGCAGAGGGGGGCGCTGCAGGCTGGCACCTTCAGACGCAGGGCGGGCTTCTAGCCCACTCCCTGTGGGGGGGGGGGGGGGCCGGGGGGGGTTGCAACCCAAAGGTGAATCATCTCTTGGAAAGTTGGGAGATAATTTTCTTGGCTACCCACAGTACGTGTGGAATAAATTGCTGTTTTATTTCAGGCTCTAAAGGCAAATTGGAAAGCCTTCCCATTTGGGGATTATTACCAGGGATTAAAAATGAGTTGCCTGGTGGCCACTAGTTTTCTCTCTAGTCTGAGAAGTGGCCGGCTTTCTGGCCCTCCGGCGCCCCCTCTGGTTCCCTGGCCCTCTGTCTCCGACACGAAGGGCAGCAGCGACCCCTCCTGGCCAGCAGAGTGGCTGCCCGGCAGCCTGGTCCGGTGGCCCAGAGTCCTGCCTGCCTTGAGGGGCGGCCCCAAAGGGGTTGGACCCTCAGTCCCCGCGGGAGGATTTGATGGGCAATTTTCCCTCTTCTGTGAGCTCCCGGGCCCCAGGGCCGTTGTGAATTGTCGCCCTCTGAGTTGGGTCTCCGCTCCTGTGGCTCTGGTGCGAATGCTTGGGAAAAAAGTTTTCATGAAACTTCGGGATCAGATGGAACCTGGCCTGAAGCCAGATACTCCCAGAGGGCTCCCTTTGCTCCGCATTTGAGCCTGAGCGCTGGCCTGTGGGCTTCCCCGGAGACCATCTTCTCGGGGGTCTGCGGGCCCGGCTGGCTGTCTTCCCCGTGGCCCCGGTTTTCTGGCTCGTCACTCCGTCCTGTCTGTGCCGCTACCCCAGCCAGCCCCAAAGGGCAGCCCGCTCACATAGCTGGAACAGCCACGGAAAGTCCGGGCCTGTGGTGTCAGCTGGGTCGTTCCAGCCCGGCCACCCCCGCCGTGTGCAGCAGGCTGTGTGCCTGGGGGGGACAGTTCTTAGTCCTGTCTCCCCGGACAAGTTCAAAGGCCTGAAACACAAACAGGCTGAGGGCTTGTCCGAAGGGACGGGGATATCGGCCTTCCTGCGTCCGCTGCCGTGAGCGTCCCCTGGATCGCGGTTCACCGCGGGGAGGCCTCACTTGTCTGGAAGCCAGGATTCCCCGGCCCCGGCTCGCAGTTAGGCGGCGGAGGCTGAATCCCCCCCGGGGAGGAGGGGACCCCAGGGCAGGAGGAGAGGAAGGTGCCGAGTCCGCTAAGAAGGGACCCATGGACTCCGCTATTGTGAGAATGACACGTGAGTGACCTCCGAGGACACACATGTTTAAGGGGGGGGCCCGGTGTCCATGCTTGGTATGTTCTGTTCCCACGGTTTAGAAAGCGGGCAGGTGCAGCTCCGCCTGAGGGAGAAGTGGCCTCTGGAGTGGCAGGTCTCCAAACTCCGGCGATGGGAGGGGCTTTGTCATAACCCAGAGAGGTCCCGTGTCTCCGGGAGAAGGGGACTGTGTGGAGGTGGCAGCTCCTGGGAGGGAACACCCTGTCCCCTCACTGGCGGGTGGTGTGCGTATAGCCTCAGGCCAGAGGGTGTGACCGCCGCACCCAAAGCCTGTGTGCCACTTGTGGGAGAAGACAAACCCCTCGGCCCTCCGGCCCTCCAGCAGGTCGGGATCTGGGGGCTGGGGCCTCACCCCCAAGCCCGTGCCAGGCCCCTGGTGGCTGCCCGGTGCTGAGCTGCAGGCCGGCCCCTGTGAATCAGACAAGCACAGCTAAGTGACTTCGCTGTTTTAATCCAGACCGTGCCCCACTCTTCCACGCTGCCCCCTCCCTCTGGCTAGGCCACGTTTCCGTGGTTCTAAAGTGCCTGGGTTAGTTAGAACAAAAAGCAACCTGCAGTCTCTATAAAAATGAGTGGCCGTTGCAAGATTGAGCTTCTGTTGTCCGTTTGAAGTCGGGGTTCGGATCTGGCCCCGGGGAAGCGGGGGGCCTGCTGCAGGCCCCAGGCAGCCAGCCAGCCAGCCAGCCAGGCTAGACCTGTAAGAGCAGGGCCACGGCCGCCAGGATCCACTTGGCCGCCTTCTCTTTGGTTTTGAGGTTAAAGGTCCACACGTAGGTGGGGCCACGGATGCGTGTTTTGTACACAGGACACTCATACGTGTTCTTGGTCTCCATGCGGTCCACAGGAATGGCCTTGATGAAGACGACGGGCATGGCTGGCGTCAGCTCCTTCAGCCTTGCTTCGGCGATGACTCCGGTCTGGGTGTCCCAGCGAGCTCCTGCAGGACAGCGCGGCGAGGTCAGGGGGGCCCGTGGGGTCGTGCCCGGGCGCCATGTGGCGTGCTGGCCGTGAGCCACGCCGGGGGCTGGCGGGGTGCCGGGGCTGGACTGGCACAGGGGTGGCTGGAAGCGGAGCCGTGAGCGGAGGCCCGGGATGGGATGCGGTACACGCGGTGCCCCCCAGGACCCCGCCACGGGCCTCCGAGGGACAGCTCAGCCTAAAGCTCTCGGGGCCACCCGTTTACATTTGTGGTGTTTCCAGAACCTACCCGTCAGCCTTCTTAATTTCGGTGGCAGGAAATCGTACCTCCAGCTGAATGTTACGGGAGATTAACGTTCCCCGATGCCCTTCATATGTAGCGTCTAGCCTACGTGTGCACGCACGGTGCACGTGATTACATGTATGTGCACACGGAACTTTCATTTGCCTTTAACCAGACTGCTCTGTTTCTACTCATCCTGTTAATGGTGTTTGTATTTCCTGTCTGTAATTCCAAAATAAACACGTAGAGCGACTCTTGCTGTGCTCGTCTCTGATATGGGGACCGGGGAGCCCCGAGCCCTTGCTGGCCAAGCCCCGCACCCCCTAGGTGAGGGGGCGACGTGAGTCGCTGCGTGGGCCGGAGGTCTGTGGTGCGGTAGCTGCCACTCAGCTCCACGGGTCTGAGGGACGGGGCTGCCCGGTGGCCTCAGCGGGTGCAGGACGGGGTGGCTGGCGCCCCCGGACATCCGGCTGCCCCGGGGCTGCCTGCTTCTCGCTGTCCTGCGAGGGCCACGCCCCACACTGCCTTGAAACAGGTGCTCACGCCACTTTTGGCAAAGCCAAACCAGGCTGGCCGGGCTCTAGAAAAAGTTGTCTGAGCGTGCCGTCTCAGCCGTGCCACCCACCCCGGCCGGCGCCGGGCCTCAGGCCCACCCGCCCCTCCGCGCACCTCTCCCACCTGCTCCTCCAGCCACCACCTCTCCTCCAGCCCAGTGGGAGCGGCACCCCCGTTACCTTCCATGAAGAGCCCGTACACGTAAGCGCCCTCTCGGGGCGGGGCCGTCATGTCCTCCCGGTTCTTCTTGGTCACTTCCACGGACAGACACATCTTGTCCAGGGGCCACTCGTTCTTCCTGGCCATGGACTGCATGATGGCCGTGAGGAAGGACTGCGGGTTGAAGAAGCCGGCCAGCCACACGGTGGTGGGCAGGGCGAAGTCCGTCGTCCAGGCCTCGAGCTCCTGGTGGAAGTATGCCATCGGGGTGACGCCCCGACCTTCCCGAGCCACGCAGATGGGTCAGCGAGGCCCAGCCTACCTGTGCCACAGCGGTACCCGCCAACTCCAGTTAAAATGTAACGGGAAGAGGGGCATGGGGGGGGCCTCAACCTTTGAGGACAACTTGGGGGCCCGAAGGAGGCTTTGATGAGCCGGCTCCCCGACGGGTTCCCCCCTGGGTCTTTGGGCTGTGGCGGAGAGGACTGTGGCGGTCTATGGAAGCTGCCCCCGCCTCGGACCCGCCGTTTCCTCCCTGCTGCAGGAAGTGCCTGCACTGTCAGGCGTCTGTGTGGTGTGGGCCGCGCCCTTCCAGCCCTGCTGTGACACGGGCCAGCCCGGTGGGGGCCTCTGGCGGGGCCTACGGCCGCCCCTTCCCACCCCTCTCTCAGCCACAGTCCCGGAGGCCTTGCGGGGCAGGGCGGGCCTCCTGTGACTTGCAGAGACGGTCCTTACCCTGATTCGGAGTAGCAGGTCGGCAAACCAGGCCGCCAGGCCCATCATGGAGGGGTAGGCCCGGGCCACCCACGTGTCGGGCACAGTGTCATAGAACAGAGCCACGGACAGGTCCTCCATGTCGGTCGTGATGGTCAGCTCCCCCTAAGGGACAAACGGACAGGGCGCTGGTAGGCACGCAGACCGGGCTGGTCACGCACCTTGTCTCCCCCTTGCCCCCCCCCCGGCCCCCCCCCCCACCGCTGTGCCAGGGGCCCTCGAGAGAAAGCAGTTTGGCACGGAGCCCCGGTGTGCGCCACCCTGGCCTGGCAGGCCTGCAGCTCAGGACCAGGGAACCAAGAGGAGACCGTACTTCACTAGCGCCCAGGGCCGGTCCCCGCCCCCGCCCCCGCGTCCCGCAGCCGCCTTGCGAGGTGAGTCAGCTTGCGCCTTGCGAGGTGAGTCCGCTTGCGGCACCAGCCTGCCTCCGAAGTCGCGTCCCTGGGTCCCGGCTGACCCGTGTGTTTTACCTTTAGCCCCAGGTTCAATTCCTTCAGTGAGCGGCGCATCTCGTTGGTAAGGATGTTCATCCTCTCGCACTCCTGGAAGGCGACCACCACGTACGGGGTCTTCTCGGCTGACTTCGCCATGATCTCGGCCATGTTGAATGTCTCCGGGACCTTCTCCAGGATCTCCTCCAGCACGGCCTTCACCTAGAGGTCAGTCCCCGACAAGCCCCGTCACTGCACGCACCTGCCGGCCCATCCCCGGCGTCCAGGTCGGGGAGCCTGCGTTGCACGCCCACAGTTAGGACCCCTGGAGCAAAGGCGCTGGGGTGGGGGGGGGGTGTCTGAACAGCAGGGTGCAGGGGTGCAGCCACACATCTGACGAGAAGAGGGGATGCTGGCCGACAGGCTTTGACTATCTGGGTCCCGTCGTCAAGACCATGGGACTCTGGCCACGGGGGCAGCAGACCACCCTCGCCTGGTGCCTTCAGACATTCCTGAATGTCAGGTCATCTGACCGTGTCTGCCGTGTAGGCTGTCCCTGGGGACCGCGTGGTCACACCCTGTCCAGGAGTGGCCCGCATGGGGTCACGTACCCCACTGCGGTCGGGAGATGTGTGGTGTCAGTCATCACACCGAGAAAAGGGTCCTGAGGCCTCATAGCATCGAGGGTCTTGCGATCCGGAATTCGGTCTATTTACCGGGAAGCCCCTGCTTAGCTGCCTGTTACTAGAACCTGTCCAGGATTTCCTAAGCGGCGTAAAGGTGCCGATTGCACACGAGAAGGCAAGGGGGAGTGCAGGGAGAGGTCTTCCGTTGTCTGGGTTGTGTTACTGGGGTGAGCCCACCGTGGTCGTCTGAGCTCACGGGGAGGGACTGTTATGCGTCCAGACCGGTGAGCTCCTCCCTCGCCGCTCATGGGCCAGTTCGGCCACGTTAGAGGCTGAGTGGGGGGAGGCCACCCAGGGACTGGCCCCACTGGGGCCTGTCAGCCGGCTTGCAGCCCCAGCCCGCTTTCTGGGGACGCACTTTCCCACCCCAGGTTTTGGGCCCCGCCCCTTCTGTGCCGCTGGGCGCCGTGTTGAGACTCCTGCCTTCTCCTCCCGAGATACTCCGGTGCCTGCTCCTGAGTCGGTCTCTTTGGGCTGCATTTCCAGGACCGTGCGGAATAGTTTCTCTGAGGTGACTGTCAGAAAGCCGATCTCTGCATTGGGGTGCAGGCCGTACAGGTAGGGACTCTCGGGGGGCAGGTTCTCATTGATGTACTCGTGGTAACCCTGCAGAGGGGCGGTCAGTGAACAGGGCTGCCAAGGAACCTGTGTCCACCGTTGACGAGGCAATTCTGACCAGAATGTTCCGCCCACGCCTTGCCCTCTGTACCAACCCCACTGGTTCTCTAACACCCCCCACCCCAGCCACATGAACGAAGCCTCCACGCCCCCTCCCCAGAGGCTGTGTTTCAAGCCATCCCGGCCCTCTTGCCCAATCACTGATACTCTGTCTGTGACGCCAGGCTGGCCCCCCGGAGCCGGCCAGGACAGCATTGCCCTTTGCTGCTGTTGCGTCACAGGGTGAGCTTGTGTCCCCGAGAGAGGGCCCCCCTCACCTTGTAGTCCAGGTTCGGGGGGATCTGAAAGCCCGGGGCCAGCAGGGTCTCGCCCTCCAGCATCTCTGCCCGGACGTACTCCGCCAGGTACGTCCTGCAGAGCCGGCGGTCCCAGTCGTCCGTGATGTGGCCGCCGTACATGATTTCTCCAAACAAGTAGCGTAGGTCATCCCAGGGCACCTTAGGAAGGATGGAGGCGGTGAGGAGAAGTACCCCCTGCCCCGTTGGGGTCGGTAAGAACCGACAGTCGGCCATCAGTGTGAGGTGAGGGCCGGCTCCTGTCACCCCGTCGCCGCCCTGTCCGCTGCTCCCTAGGGTTACCAGGCCTCCCCTCCCCTCCCCCGACTGCCCCGCCCCGGCGGTGTCTCACCCGGAGGCCCGCCCCTCCTTGGCAGGGTCCCGCCTTCTCTGGCAAGGGCTGCCCAGCGGCTCCCCTCTGCCCACAGCCTGGCCTCTGTGTCCCAGGACGTCCCGCTCCGAGGCCTGCCCTGCAGCCCCAACTTGTGCCCTCGCTCGGGCCACCCTTGTGACCCCCTGCTCGGAAACGTGCAGCCACCCGTGACTCCTGACCAGAGCGGTTTAATTCTGTGCTGACTGGGGGTGTGGACGCTCGGATGCCGTTTCTGTTGGCCGGTCGGTCTGTGCAGTGTGTCCGTCCAGTGGGTCTTTCTTGCCATCCCGCTGGGCTTGCCTGGCGCCGAGTTTCCTGGCTCGTCGCCCCTTGTGTGCCCCGCGGGGCTTTGCAGCACCGGGAGCTTCAGCAGGGGAGCTCACCTGCCCAACCTGGGGCGTCTGACCTTATGCTCAGCCGGGAACGCTCCTTTCCACCACCACTCACCAAGGCGATGCCCGACTTCCGAAGCCAGCTCAAATGCCGCCTCCTCTGGGAAGCCAGCAGGTGAGCTCCGGCTTCCAGGCGCCAGCACATCGCTGTTCCTTGCACACACAGCGCCGCCCGAGGGGGATCCTTGTAGTCCAGGTTAGGGGGATCTGGAAGCCCGGGGCCAGGCACGGGAGCCACAAATGGCAGCCACACGCGAAGTTTCAGATTTGCCAGCACCCACGTAGGAGCCCTGTTCCAGCAGCAGTAACCATCACGGAGACGATGAATTAATGAGGTATTTTCCGTTCTCTCACCTGCCCCAAGAGTACTCAGTACAGCTCACATCCCACCCGCAGTTTGGACTGGCGGTCGGTCCGCGGCTGCCTCCTGACACGGTTAAGAGCTTGCTGATTGAACGGTTGATGGATTTGGTCTCCTTTTACTCAAAATATTCACATGCTGTAAAGTGTCATTTTGCGCCTGAAAATTTGTGCTCTGCCTCGTTATCTTGGGAATGTGCTGAGCTGCGTATTTCTGCGTTTTGCCTGTTTGCTTTGGGGACAGTCTGTTTGTTCTGGGAGGCCCCTGGCCCCACGAGCTGCCTCCTGTCCGTCCCCGCGGGGTGGGGGCCGTGGGACCAACAAGCAGGGACGGTGCCGGTGGGAGTCCTGGAGTGCACGTCGGAGACGGTGCCCGGCCTCTCCCGAGCTACTGCTCGGAGTCGGGGGCGGGGGGATACGAGCGTGGGACGTGGACCTCATCACAGGTGTTACCTAACGACAGAGGAGGGGTCCCGCCACCCCCAGCCTGGTGCACTTGGCTCGGCGGGAAGCGCATTCCTGTGTCCTTCACTGCTGTCTGCTGGGCACGCGTCCTCGAGCAGTTTCCTACCCACCTTGGCTTCTGTACGTGCGTACTACGGTGGGGCGAGAGTCTGAATAAACGTCTTTAAAAAACTCGAGCGAGACCGTTCCTCCCACGCGCATCTCCCCAGGAGACTTCTCTAACCGAAGTGCAGAGATGGCAGTGACCCTTCGTCGTGGCTGTTCCCAGCATGTGCTTGTTCGCGAGTGCTGGAAGGCGGCTGCCAGCGTTCAGCTCTGACTCTAGCCCTCCCAACCTACGGGTGGAGAAGGCCTCACCCTCCCCCTGGAGAGCTGACTGCTGGCCCCTCCTGCCTCCCGGGGCTGGGTTTCTCCAGGAACGAAGCCAGCACGCGACACCCTGCACTCGGACTCGGGCGGTGGCTGTCCCATGCGGTCAGGGCCAGGGCAGCGGCGCTGTTTGCCTTCAGAGGCCACCAGAGGTGGTCACAGATGGCCCCTGTCTTGGGCTGCTTGCGGGGAGCAGGCGTGCGGGGCTGTGCTCGCGTCTTGAGCCCTTTATGGCAGGGTGGGAAACGGGTGGGTGGCCCAAGACGTGCCCTTAAGCCAGCCGGGGGCTCTTCCCTTGCTTAACCCCTAAAGCTTGAGGCCGGGTGCCTGGTCAGGGGCAGAGCCGGGCTTCGCTTGCGACCTTGTCCCCAGGGCGTTGGGAGGGGTGCTGCCTGGTCCCGCCATCTGGCCCCCCGCCCCCCGCTGCTGCCCACCCCTGCGCCATGCCTCAGTCCCGTCTCTGCCGATTCGGGGGAGCCAAGGCGTATGGGGTACGCAGGCGTCTGCCTCTCCTGGGGGTCACAGCACTCCCGTGTCAGCGCCAGGCTCTCTGAGCCAGACTCCGAGAGGGACCGGGAAGGGGGGGCGGCCGGCCACTCCCGGTCCTCCAAGGCCCCTTGCAGATCACTGCACACATTTACTTCCGTTTTCAGGAGAACGAAAGCAGTGCTCTTGTTATCCAGGGGGAGTTTTCTGGCTCTCCCTTTAAACCTGGGTTCTGTCTCCAGACCCTGCACCCCGGGGAGGGGAGGTCCCTCATCCACTCCTCCCGCCCAGGGATTTCGGGGCAGGTCCCCAAAAATACCTGTCCCCGTGCAGTGTGCTAACAAGTGGGAAGATTGCCAGACAGCTGACAGGTGCTGCAGGGGTGGTGGTCAGGGCCTGGGTACCAACCGTCCTATCAGCCCACTGGGGTCACGGGGCAGGTTTTCTTTGACTAATAAGCTCTACGTGATGCGTCCTGAGCATGCGGCGGGAAGGGTGGGAGGGCAGAGAAACCCGCTGGGCACCAGGCTCGCCCTTACCTTGGTGTTGGCCTCGAGGTAGTTGTACAGCACGTTGATGGAGATGGTGAGGTCCCCATTGTTGAAGGGGTACGACCTGTTCCAGCCCTGGGCCCCGAACTTGCGCCTCTCGGCCACCACGGCGTGGAAATAGCACAGGGCGAATAGGATGCACTTGAACTCGATCTCCTTGGTGCACATCTCCAGGGTGTCCTGCGGGGGGGGGGGGGGCCACAGGGGCCCCGGCTGGGACCCGAGTCCTGCCTCTGCCAGCAGCTTGCTGGGGGCGGGAGGGGCAGGGTGGGCGGGGACTGGCCACTTGAGGACCCGGTCCACGAGGGCTGGAGGGGAGCATGATTTCTTGTGCTTCTGTCGTTCAGAAATGCTGTTCTATCACCTAAGTATTGATTTTAAGTCGGATTAAACTGCTTCCTAAATAAAACATTCCCAAACTCAGGACATTTCTGGATTCCTTTAATGAGAGGGACCGTCCTCGGCGGCGGCCAGCGCTCCCCCTCGTGTGCATGTGAACACTAGCCCAGACTCTCCAGGAACAGGGGCTCGCTGTGCGTTCTCGGCACAATGTGCTCCACAACGAGATCTCTGTAGGTGTTACCAGACGGTACGGGGTGTCTTGTCTTCCTTAAAAAAGGTTTCAGACCCCACTGGGGAGATCAAGTGAGCGCACCCAGAAAGTTCTGGTGCGGAACAGAAGATCGGGGGATATGCTAGGGGCTTGTGGAAGGGGTCCGGTGGCGCAGGGACTCTCGAGGAGGGAGGAGCCCCACCGAAGCAGGTGGAGGCCCCGTGGGGATGGGCCGTGGCGGGGGGGG